GGGGGAGGGGCCCATGGATTCCAATCACACACGTGCTCAGATGTGTTTAGATACCTTTGTTATGGACACACGCGCTGACATGAGGAGGCGATCCAACGTGTCATTTGGAATGTTTGAGGTTTCACAGATCCTAGACTGCCCCCTTGTGTTTATATACGTCCATGGAAACATCTGCATCTGCGGGGGGGTGGGGGGAAGGGGCGGTGGGGGGGACACCGGACTTCTGTGGGTTTCTATCCCGAGTAGATGTATAAATGATTATTCATATCATATCAGTGTAATGAGGACCAGTGGTGATTCTGTCGACTGAGAGAATTATTCCCATTTCAAAACTCTGCTATGCTCGTATGTTCTTTTACATCCAGAGAATGGAGACACTGCGTTGCAGCTGCGGTGCTGATCGATGTACGTTGCAACTTTTGTCATTAATATTATATATAGTCTTATTTCTAAATGTATTTCTATTTGAATCATTTCTGTCATAGGAATTGAATGCATTGAGGAACTTTTACATTGTTCATTTTGTACACAGGACACCCTGGAGACGGATCCTCCTCGAACGTTCCCACCAAGGTTTCTTTCTCAGGATTTCTCAGGTTTCTGGGACAGAGGATGTTACGTACACGTTACGTGTACAGACTGTAAAGCTTCCCGGGGCTCATTTTTAACTTTAAATTGCATTTTCCATCCTATTCTTATTAATTAGTGGGGGATTCCATCCCAATTTAATCTCCTATCGGTTGAAAGACAAATATTGTATTCAGTATTTTTACAATTCTTTCATAAATACCCCAATAACGATCATACCTTTGACCTTATATCCCCACATTAGTCCCTTTGGGATCATCTCATCATTGCCCCCCCGTCTCCATTCCTGCTGTCGGGGGCTGCTGACACTTTGATCTCTGTCATTAGTCAGGTATGCAGAGAGAGACACAGGCAGAGCCACAAACTTGTCTCTCTCGGTCTTTCTTGCTCTCTCTCTCGTCTCCCACGCTCTGGCCGGAGAACACCGGTTGACCTGCTTGTCTTCTTGGCTTTGCATCAAAGAGGAAAAAGGTAGAGACCTTTCTGCCGGCGTTCCTCTGAGCTTGACGCGAACAGGAAGTGACAGCATTCCTGAAGGAAGAGGGGAAAGACACCGGACAATCTGGAGGTCGGCCTCTCAGACCTTTTAAGTTTAAATTCTCTTTGACGCTCGTCTTCCTTTAAAATGCTTCTCAAATTTGAAAAGTATTTTGTGAAAGCTTCCAGCAGTCAACCTTTAGTTGTTGAGCACTTGATGAATGACTTTCTCCACATAAAACTATTCTAGCAGTTTGGGAAACAAACATCATGACAGTCAGCGTGGTTACATGGATTCCAATAACTGGCTCAGTCGGACTGAAATGGAATGATCCGTTTCACGTAAACACCTTTGTCCGACTACGTGCGGCTCGACTACGGTCCGACTAACACGCCTGGATAACTCCATCCGATCCGGTTGATAGTGCGACTATTGCGGCAAGTGACGGTGAATCGGATGAGGAACTGGACTCTGCGTCTTTGCGGATGCTCGAGATCCCGACGGCGTCTTCTCTCCGTTATCAAATCAGCCAATAGCGGCATTCGCCTTCGCTGTGCTCCTATTAGCATCATGCACAGACAGTAGAGGGACGTAGCTTCACCTCGCTCTCCGCTCACCATCTTTCTCCTAATGTTGATGATGTTGTTGTTGTTGTTGTTGGTAGTGGTGAAGCGGTCAAGCGGAAATGGCTGCATCACAACTAGTTGTAATGAAAACAGCGCCACCTATCGTATCGATATGACGTGCTAACTGCCAATGATTCGATTTATTCACTGCCATGTATATTGGGATAATAGCACCTCCCCCCGAAAGATATCATAGTCCCACTAAGCAAAGATTACAATTATACCATCATGTAAACACACTGAGTGGGAATATTCTCCTCCTCCCATTGACGCAGTTACGCACATGTGTGCGTCAGTGGTCATCTGGTATCGCCTCACAAATAATGCTGAATCCCCCATGTGGACGGAGATCTAAAAGGGAAACGGGGCCTTAGTCTGTTTTAAATGGCGCGCCCTAATAAAATGGTAGGAGAAACATTTTGCACATTTGTAAACACAACCAGAGCGAGTTATGGCAGAAAAAACAAGCCTTTTAGTGGAATGAAGGTGCCAGTTTGACCCAATAGGTCGCACCGCACTCTGTTTAGGGGCGGCTGCAGACAGTGTGGATGGCCCCGTGGATCTGGTATCTGCCCCGAACCTGAAATTACTTGATCAATGGACCCACTGGAGAGATGGTTACAATTGGGCAGTCGGACAAAAAAAACTCCCCCTCCAAGAGTTCATGAGACAGCACATGGCTTCACTGCCGCGTAAAGCGTTGGTCATACGTCTCTGGGTCAAACGGAACAGGTCCATGTGTGAGGAGCCTCGTGTCAGAGACCAGAGGGAGAAAACACAAGCAAACCACTTGAGAGCCTCGTCTCCGCTTCCCTTGCAACTGGTCGCTCTCTTGCTCTCCTCGCCGTGCATAATCCATCCCTCCCACTTGCTGCGTTTGGAGAGTTTCCATCCAATACTGGAGAGGCAACCAATGTCGGTCACTACTCAATGTCACACCTGAAGCTTTCACAGCCTCGGGACGTAAACAACACGGCAATCTCGCATGTAGAAAGGCAGGCTGTTACTAACACACACACACACACACACACGTTGTAGCAGAGCCTGACCACAAGGTGGCAGTGCCGGCATGCGTAATGCAACAAGGCTTAACTTGGACATTTACTTTTATGTCAGCTCGCTTGTACGCAAGGCACCCAGCCACAGGGTGCACTTATGTCACATGGGATGGAAGCCAGAAGAGAACTCACGTTTTCAATGACAAACGTCCACTCTTTGTCTTCAAACTCCTCTGCATGGGGGTCCTGCAAGGGCCGTGGAAAGATAAATAATTAATATTACAAATATACGTTTGTATGAAATCTCTTCTACAATGTGGAAGTTAAACACGCTACACAAAGGAAACAACACAATAATGATATAACACGTAGAGCAGACTGCAACCACAGCATAAACAAACTACAAATCATCACCCAACCCGCCATAAACACTCAATAACTCATGCTTAAAACAATTCCTCTTATTAACGAGAGATTTTATTTTAGTGATAAATGTGCCACAATATTTATGGTGGGAAAAGCAGGGGAGTTTTCTCATCCCCCCCCCTCCTGCTCCCACTGAGGTAAGGAGGTAACTTGGTGTTACTAATGAGCCGCGCATGCATGCTGGTTTTAATCGTAACGTTAATGCGCTGCACTGTAATGGAGGCAGTAAAGCAGCAAGCGTCTCCATCCTACAGATGGCCGTCATTTCTGCCGTTATTACCTTTTGCTTCTCCCAGACTAAACTATGAAATCAATACAGCTATGATCGTTGGTTGCATCCTCAGTGCGATAGCGCCACACAAGCAGACACAGGCTCCCACAGCCCTTCTGTCTGACTCGCCGGAGGACGATCCATACTCCTGCAGCCAGGCAGCACACATCAAACAGCTTCCTCATCCTGCCGTTATTTCAACGCCACATGAACTTCTTCTAAAAGTCTACTGACGCGATCAGCATTCTGGGTTTATTCTGGGTGCGTTTTGGTATTTGGTGACAGGATACAACCTTTTTAAATCAAACATACTGCCGTTGTTAACATATTTGCACAATACAAAGGGTCTGATAAACTTGGAAAAAGCTTCCCTGAGGGCTGGTGGTCTCTTTGCTTCCTGAACATGGACTCTGTCTGTGGAGTGAGTCACACTGAAGGTACATGTTCGTTTCAGCCTCCTAAGTGAAACTAAGGCTGTCTGTTGGCGTAAACCTCCGTGAGGAACAGGCTGCAATACTGCTGAGCTCAGCTGCTTCCACTGCACAGCTCCAGGGAAATAACCAAGCATCTTTAAATCACTGTTTGCTCTGGTCGGCACGCCGCAGAAACAAATACAATGCGTGGTTTCATTGTTACAGATTTATGACAGTTGTAAGTAATATTATCTGTATTGAAAAGGGACACTCAAAATACCGCGTGAGGTGTCCAGAGACCGAAGGTCCCCGTTATGCAGCAGAAGTTGCACCATCCTGACTCTGGCTCCTGGACACTCTCGTGCTACAAACAGCATATTCTTGTTCGACAGTGCTGACGCATTTCTAAATCCATGTTTGTGGGTTGTACGTTATACAGCTTTATTAACAGGCAGGAGGAAGGAACTGACTTGATTCGTTATTTTGATAAAACAGATGTGGGTGAACTGTGCCTTCAGTGGCTTTGCTTTGTGTCCCATCACAGAAACAGCTTTATTACTTCCTGCGGGACAGGAAGTGGACCCAGAGTAGAGAGACAAGGACAGGCCTAGAAAACCACATCAGTGTCAGTGTAAGGAAAATAAGAAGCCCTACACAGTGCAGAAGCAGGTATGCAGATATTTGGGTCCGGTGGTCGGGTTGAGACACCCGGAGAAGTAACAGACACGGAGTTCAGGCCAGCGGCAGATACCGTCTGTACCAGTGTGTCACCTACAGACACTAGTGGACTACTAAACAGACGAAGCCCGTGGATACACCCGTTGTATTTTTAATGCAAGAAATTATAATCTACATAATATTGTTCGTCTAATATTACACAGACACACAGATACACAGACGCGCTCGCATGGACGCTGATCCAACAGCAGCCTCCTACCTTAAAGAGAGTGACTGTGATCTCTATGTTCTCTGGCACAGGCCACACCACCACTCCTCTGTAGGGGTTTTTGATGCCGGGCTGCCAGCTGTGAGCCTGCAGGACAGATGGACGATAAGGACTATTTTTTGCAACGGAGAAACTTTGGTTTCCTTCAATTTTGCCACAGGATGCCACTTCTCAAAATACAAACCTTGGATGATTTCCGCCGACTCCTGCGCGTCCAAACCACCACCAGTTTGTCCGGTTGCCTGAGAGGAAGGAGACGGGAAACAGCAGAGGAGTAAGTACTTTATTTTAAAAACATTTTCAGACCTAATATTTTTTTATTTTATTTTTCTATTCAATATTTTGACCTCACTTTTTTGCCATATTATTCCAGACATTTTTTTTTTTAAAACTTTTTTCTACTTTTTCCAACATAGTCTCGTTTTGGCAATGCATTTTTCAACCCTATATATAGACTTTCTTTTTAACATTTCTTTCTATGAAATATTTTTGTCAAACCATTACAATCTAATTTTTTTTCTGACTTTTTTCGACCGAACATTTGAACATTTCTTTTTTGGACTTCTTATTCCATGACATTTTTCTGCTTAATATTTTGAGACTCTTCTTTCGAAACATTTTTTGAACTTATATATTTTGATTTATTTCAAAACATTAATCAACCTAATACATTTTACTTTTCTTTCTAAGCTTTTTTTAATCTATCAACTTGTTTTTCACATCAACATTGATCAGCTCGTCTCTGCAGTTTAAAACCCCAATAAGCCTTCTGCTGTTCATACAAACGCACACTAACAGCAACGTGTACACACACCTACACAGCCACTTGTGGTATGAATAAATCATGAGACACAGCTCAACAATGGCTTTGCCTCTGTGGACTGCACGCAAGATAATCACACACACACACGCACGTAAAGTGTGAAACACTGAAGAAAGTTTACCCGGCCCAGGTCAATCGCACTGCACCGACAACCGGCATGAGACACATTACTTCTATTGTGTCTCATGACAGATAATCGGTTTCGTGCTCATCTTTTTTGTAGAACGGTGTCAACGTGACGTTTGTTTGGAGTTTGAAGTATTAAAGACGCAGACAGGCCTCTAGCACTAAGGCTGGGCAGCATACCGGTTCAAACTGAATGTTTCCGTACGGTATGAATTTCCCACGTACCGTTCATACCGGTTACGCCATAACAACTGGTGTTGCTCTGGAGCTACTTGTCTTTGGCCAATACAAGCTTATGGCATATTGCATGTGTTATTACTAATTAAGAAGGTAAAAGATGGCGGCATAAACTATTACCAGTAATAAATATGTTTTTACCACAAGATAATGGCTTAGGACATATTTAAAAAGAAAATGTATGTTTGCAACCAACTTCTCAAATTGATTGTGTGAAGAAAAAACAAAAAGGACTTGAACCAGCTCTGACCGACCACACTGGAGACCAGATCCACCCGACTCGGAAGATTCAGATTCTTCAGTCCTTTCAAAAAATAATTCATTCAACGATGGCAAATGCTGGGTGAACGCAGCTCGTGGTAGTAGGTGGTGCTTGGAGCGCTACAGTCAATGATTTCATTATGCAGCCTATCGAGTACACCACTGGCTTTATGTGTGCACGACTGAGAGAGAGTGAGAGAGAAAACAGAGGGAGGATGACGGGCAACAATGTCTCGCATAGAGAAGCTATTGTCCAACAACACAGGCCATATCAGAGCATGCACAATCACCCCATAACTGCCCCCTTTGAACTGTCCTGCCTGCCTGAGAGAACTATTCAAACCAATAGCTTGCAGGTCCACTGACTTCTTTACACTTTAGCGTGGTGACCTTCGTGGGTGACACGGAGAAACCCTCCTAGATTTAGATTTTAAGTAGTCTGCTGCAGTTCTCATCCAGAGAAACCTGCAATTAGTGGACATATGAGTTCAACGTTTTCCTCAAATTCTCTTTAGATTATCCCAGTTACTGATTTATTTATCTTCATATCATATCTTTTGCATGTAGACATTTTGAATTGCCATTGGTTTGTTTCTTATGTGGCATATTGAATTGCAGCATTACAAATATTATAAAACAAAATATATTCACTAGATTTAATAATAAACTCAGTCAGTGCTACAGCGAGTGTATTCTGGCTGTGCAGTGGAGATCATAACTAAACCAGGACTAAAAAGACGCTTTGAGCTGCACATAAAAGATCAGGTGAAGCAGGGCAGCTGCTGACCGGGGGGCTGCAGAGGTTCAAAAAGGAAGATCTGCTGACCACCACACGGAAATCAGGTAGGAAGACACGCCGTGCATCCAACTATTCCGTCATAGCTCAGAGGAACAAATGGGATTTTATTTTCACAAAAGCTTATATCGGATAATATTAGTTTGGCATCTTAAATGTGCTCATTCAAGGCTTAGTGCGTATTTGCCTGCATGGTTAGAAGTGGAGGGTGGGACAGGAAATTGCTCTATCTTTCCTGCAGGCAGGAGGAAATAACCACTTCACATTTGATACGACGGCCCTCAGACCACCGGCTCATAGTGGGAGCGCTTTAGTTTTGTCAAATCCGCAGTAAGTTGGTTTAATTTCATTGTGGGAAGCTAAAGTCATGATCGCACTGAATATTACTAATATTACTATTACTGCGCAGCCGTTGTGGATGGTATAAAGAAGAATGTGAGGGAAGACATGCCAGTATTTGTCCTACTCTTGTAGGTGTATTAGAGTAGACCAGAGCCGGATCCAGAAGCCGTCCCATTTGGACCAAAAGCTATAAAAAAAAGACGGTTGTAATTAAAGACGACGGTGCACTTTGGTCGTCTTTAGGGTAGTGGCTTAAAGCACCGAGCAATTAGAGTTAAACCATCAATGAGTTAAACCATCCCACGTGGTGCCACTCGACCAATCGGGAAAAGACGAAGGAGACGGAGAAAGTGAGAGAAACGAGGAACAAATGGCGCTCTGCAAAAAGAGACAAGTGGCCTTCGAAAGAAGAGCATTTAATCCTCAATGGACGGACTGGTTTCTGTTCATACTTCCCATCGCAGCACTAAACCAGTGTCTCATGTCCTCAGAACCCGTTGAAACGCCGTCATGAGGCTCAACGTGAGGACGAGAACCTGATGCATGTGACCACAAGACCAGGTTTAACATCCTGGCAGGAAAAACTAGAAAGAAGGGAGAGAGTGGATGTATATATTCTATATATTGTTGAAATGTGATTTATTATTTATAATTTGCTGAGAGTGTAAAGTCCAAATGTGAAGCAGAAAAAGGTGAAATTCGAGCTTATCTTCCGGTCATTTCTTCTTCTTTTTTTAATTGAAGCACTTTCTTTTTTAAATGCTACTTTTATTTTGTTAATTGAGAGAACATTATTTATATTTGCACTCACACATATATGTTCAGTTCTGTACAACCCAAATTGTAATGTAATATTGTAAAAAGAGTTTCAGAAATCGTACTGAATTAATCTGATTTGTTAATCGTGCATTGAATCCAGAGCATGAAGCTTTAACACGTCGCGCCTCTAAACACCACGTGTTCTGTCACGCATTCACAAAACAGGGAGCTTCCCGTTTCCAACGACGACAATGGCTGGTTAGAATGCTCGGATCAAACAGGAGGACCCAACCCATCACGTGGTGAAAACTGCTGTCCTGTGGGGCAGGGGGGGGGGGGGGGGGGGGCACAGTGGTGAACTAAGCGGCCAAAAACAGCTTCTTACAGCAGCAATCGCTATAGAGGCAATGTTTGTATTTACTTATTTATTTTATATACTAGTTTTTGCAGCCTTCACATTATTGTCTTGTTGTCTGGGTTGATTGCCATATGTTTTGAGAAAGATGCGTCGTCTACCTCTGGGTCGGGTACAAATAAGAGTCTGACTCGGCAAAGACAGCTGCAGAGGGTGGTTGAAAGTGGGAAGTGAGAAAGGAAACAGAGGGAGGACTGCAGCTCCAGTCACACTGTGGCCTTCACTATGAAGACAGATGGAGCCGTCCAACGCAATCTGTGTGACTGTCACCCGCCCGCACCGCCGGGGCAATTAATACGGGTTCCTTTCCACTATGACGATGACTTGTGAAGCATCTCATTGCGTGTTCTGTTTTAGTGGTTTTCCCTCCCAAAGCAAAAACTCTTAATTAGTTCAAATGTCTTCTTTTTCACAAATTTTTATCGGTCAGCTTCCAGATTTATATCCAATAAAGAGCCATTGCCAAGTTCCAACCAATCAATAGTTTTTAAAAAAAATATTATTCAATATGTTATGACTTCACTTATTTCAGCCTTTGGTTGGATTTTGTTAAAACAAGGACTGTTCTTAGAATAAAGCGGAAATGGATTATGCTGTTTGAGAAGTTTCATTTCGCGTTTCAGTCAAAGGAAAGCGTTGGAAGCGAGTCACTGGGTTCTTCTCCACCCGGACAGTCCCTTGACCTCCAGCTAAAGAACCGTCAGTCAGTGGTTATGTGGCAACCAGCAGCCGGGTCGACGACACCGAGTTAATGTGCCAGACCAGAGAGTGAGGAGTGACCATTTGGACCAGCCAGATGTGTTTAAGGCCCACTCGGTGGATCTGTAAAATGAAACTTCCTGAATTAATATATATATATAAAAATATCAAGACTGTGCAAAGATTGTGTGACCATCTGTATAATGTTGTCATACTCACTCTAATCTCCCCCATACCCATCTTTAAAGTATTTCATTTTCTGTCAATTGTATTACGTTTCCCGGTATCCAAACAAACGGCGACTTCTCGGGATCCAAAAGGGAAGCCAGTCTGGCACCGAGCAAAACCTTCATAAGATCAACCTGACCATTAATGAGATTATGCAAATATGACCTTCTTCTCTACTGGCTAATTTGAAGAGTTCAATGCTCAGTTGGACTCGGCTGTATCAGATCACTTGCTCTGGATGGAAGACGTTAGAAGGTACTTTAGAGAAAGGAGTCTGCTGAAAGGGCCGGTTGCTCTGAGCCGCTTGTAGACGGTACCAGAGAGTGTACACATCGGGACGGGGATGCAGCTTTCTTTAATGCTGTTGCTTCGGTTAACTGGCTCATCTCCAGGACGCTTTCATTCCTTCCTTATCGCTTCGTTTCTACAGAAGTGGTGGGGGAGTGAACATCACCCGTATGCGTTTCTGGAAAAAGATCCTGTGAGGATCTGAGAGAGGAAACTCAAAAGCGAGTAAGTGATTGGAACCAGCTATCCTGGTTTTGTAGTTCACAAT